GTAGTCATGTAGCTAGTCATGTAGTCTAGGGTAGGTAGTTCTTGGCACTGCTTCCCCTTCATATAGTCTAGGGTAGGTAGTTCTTGGCACTGCTCCCCCTTGATATAGTCTAGGGTAGGTAGTTCTTGGCACTGCTCCCTCTTGATATAGTCTAGGGTAGGTAGTTCTTGGCACTGCTCCCTCTTGATATAGTCTAGGGTAGGTAGTTCTTGGCACTGCTCCCCCTTCATATAGTCTAGGGTAGGTAGTTCTTGGCACTGCTCCCCCTTCATATAGTCTAGGGTAGGTAGTTCTTGGCACTGCTCCCCTTCATATAGTCTAGGGTAGGTAGTTCTTGGCACTGCTCCCCTTCATATAGTCTAGGGTAGGTAGTTCTTGGCACTGCTCCCCTTCATATAGTCTAGGGTAGGTAGTTCTTGGCACTGCTCCCCTTCATATAGTCTAGGGTAGGTAGTTCTTGGCACTGCTCCCCTTCATATAGTCTAGGGTAGCTGCACAAATGCAGATGTACCTAGATGAGGTTAAAAAAAATAAAAATTAGGACTGTCCTTCCTAAAGAAGGACATCTTTATTATTACATTTTAGGTCACTCTTTCATGTGACCTAAAAGAATGACTGAAACACAATAACAAGCAAAAATATGTATTCTCAATAAATTAAGAGCGCAATAAGTAATTTATGAGACGAAGCATTAGCCAAGAGCCAGATGCTGACCAGCGTCCGTGTGGCCTTTCCCTTATGACCATTGTCCGTGTGTGGCCCTCCCCTTGTGGCCAGTGTCTGTGTGTGGCCCTCCCCTTGTGACTAGCGTCCGTGCGGCCCTCCCCTTGTGACCAGCGTCCGTGCGGCCCTCCCCTTGTGGCCAGTGTCCATGTGGCCCTTCCCTTGTGGCCAGTGTCCGTGTGGCAATCCCCTTGTGGCCAGTGTCCATGTGGCCCTCCCCTTGTGGCCAGTGTCCGTGTGGCCCTCCCCTTGTGGCCAGTGTCCGTGTGGCCCTCCCCTTGTGGCCAGTGTCCGTGTGGCCCTCCTCTTGTGGCCAGTGTCCGTGTGGCCCTCCCCTTGTGGCCAGTGTCCGTGTGGCCCTCCCCTTGTGGCCAGTGTCCGTGTGGCCCTCCCCTTGTGGCCAGTGTCCGTGTGGCCCTCCCCTTGTGGCCAGTGTCCGTGTGGCCCTCCCCTGGTGGCCAGTGTCCGTGTGGCCCTCCCCTTGTGGCCAGTGTCCGTGTGGCCCTCCCCTTGTGGCCAGTGTCCGTGTGGCCCTCCCCTTGTGGCCAGTGTCCGTGTGGCCCTCCCCTTGTGGCCAGTGTCCGTGTGGCCCTCCCCTTGTGGCCAGTGTCCGTGTGGCCCTCCCCTTGTGGCCAGTGTCCGTGTGGCAATCCCCTTGTGGCCAGTGTCCGTGTGGCAATCCCCTTGTGGCCAGTGTCCGTGTGGCCCTCCCCTTGTGGCCAGTGTCCCTGTGGCCCTCCCCTTGTGGCCAGTGTCCGTGTGGCCCTCCCTTTGTGGCCAGTGGCTTGTTTCGAGAGAGTTTGAGCTGACCTTGAGTGTATGGATCTAGTGAACTAATTTAATCCCAAACCTGTCCAATTCACCCATAAACCTTCCAAATAAACCCAATTAATCAAACAGATCCAGTTAAGAAATGCATCTGACTTAACAAGCCAAGTTAACAAACTTGGCCTAACAAAGCCACCTATCTAAAAAAAAAACCTCATCTATTCAAACTAAAGCCATCTAAAGAAACCCACCTAACCAACTCTACTAATTTAACAACTCTTGATGAGCCTAACAAAATTCATCCAGCCTAACACTGATTTCACCTTTGTAAATGCACATTAATGACTATGTAAAAGACACATCGAACACTTTATGTAGGGCATACGTAAATCTGTGTATCTATGTATTTATGTATGTAGGTTAGCTTAGCATTTTCAAAGCACCGAATCACCTTCTGTGGTTGATTGTTCAATAAATCCTTGAACTATATGTTTAGCACTTCTCTAACCCTGTCCATGGAGGACAGAAGAAAATGTATATATGCTGGTTAGCATTGTAAATGTGTGGCCACATCTGTGGTAGAAAAAAAAAACTGACCTATTCTTAACAAATGCACCCAAAGCAAACAAAGTTAGCTAACTTAGCCTAGTAACATCACTCAAGTCATCAATGCCAGTATTCAGTAGTTCTACAAGGCATACAAATTGATTCAGTTAAATTCCCCTTAAGAGTTGTTACATTCTTGTACAGCCACTAGTACGCGTAGCGTTTCGGGCAAGTCCCTGGAATACGATCCCCGCCGCGAAAGAATCGTTGTTACAACCAAGTACACATTTTACTGTTGAGTTAAACAGAGGCTACAGTTAAGGAATTGCGCCCAGTAAATCCTCCCCGGCCAGGATACGAACCCATGACATAGCGCTCGCGGAACGCCAGGCGAGTGTCTTACCACTACACCACGGAGACTGTTAAGCATCACGACCTGGATGCTGCTGTGGGCAACAATGAAGCAGAGGTGCGTTGAGGGTGATGCTACGGTGACGAGCCCCGGTATTCTGTAATCGCACTATGTAACATTGTACTTTTTTTTTTCCTTTGGGTAATTAGTGTTATTTTCTAATTATCTAGCTGGAGCATACCTGGGGAGGGTTCTGGGAGTTCTTCTACACCCCGAGCCCCGTCCTGAGGCCAGGCTCGACTTGTGATAACTTGGTCCAACAGGCTATTGCTTGGAGAGGCCCTCAGGCCCGCATTGCTTATGCCTCCAAACTATAGAAAATAGCAGTTATTTCCCCTGAAACTTTACTCTGGCCTTTGCCTTAGGAAAACCATCTTGACGATACCTGTACGTACTTGATGACTGCAGACTCCTTAACTAGAGCTGTGACAATTTTTCTCGACTACATAAGGAGTTGATGTTATCTCCCTTCTGGTTATTTGTTTGGGCTTATTAAATAAACCATATTTTAACTAAGGAAATTAGTTTTTTAATGTGTTTAATAATGCCACCAAGGTTTGATTTAAATCAAGATGATTTGATTTAAATCCAAAGATTTAAAAAATCCTTGATTTTAATAAAAATAATAATTTTAAAATTTAAAATGATATAGAGATGGTTATCATAAGCTTGCATGCAAATTTGTATATTTTTTCCATAAAATGGTTATTATGGAGGTTCTGCACACATCAAACAACTTTCATTTATTTTTCAAACTTACTTACCATGATTCAGCGTTCATGAATCTCACAAAATAGTCTAATTTTGGGGATGCAGTATTATGGTGTATATTATACTCTCATTTGTTTCATGCTATTAAGCAATACTCATGAAATAACAGCCGCGAGTATTGCTTCTTGCATGCTTGGCCTCATTAGGGTTCAGAGACAGGCAGCAAATTTCCTACATTTGAAGGCTTATTTCTTGGGCACCACTAATTGTTAAGATGTGATGTTATGGGATGTGGTGCCAGGGTATGTTGGTATAGTTATGTGTACTTAGGATGCTTGTGTTCCAGGGTGTATTTTTGTACATGGTTCACCATCACCTAATGTGGCCAAAGGGTTAATATTGAAAGTGTAAAATGACGAAGTATTGAAAAAAAAATGCATTCCATTCACCTGGACTCTAGGAGACTCGAACCGCAGACCCCACGAGTGTGAGGCCGAAGCTCTGTCAACCGAGCTGTTGAGGAGTCTTGATGTGGAAAGATTCCAGAAGCAACATCCTGCCGCCAAGCTGGAATTTTCGATTTTCCCTGACTACTACTGAAGCTCAGAGGAATTGGTGATCTACGCCCACACTATAAAAATTGTCATCCACACTTCTGTGGATTTTTTTTTTTTTTTTAAATAGTAGTGTACAATTTGCTGGAAATTGTGATGATCTGATGAGGTGAATTTCATAGCAGCTACTTTGGAAATCAGATTTAAGAGGTTGCACCTTTGTCCAGATTTGGAACTTAGTGTTATTCACGGGTCTTTCCATGCCAAATCATCACAGTTGCTAACCCAACCATCTCAGGTTTACATGAAGTTTGTTAGGATGTTAGCGTACATGAAGAGCCATAGGCAAAATTTTAGCCTTCAGTGATGCACAATATTCCTACAGGAAGGTTTCCATTGTGAAAAATACAAAACATTTGTTTACAAGTTCAGTAAAAGACCTTAATAATTTTGCTTCTAATTGAGGTAGGATCTTCTTATTGTGCATGTTTTTAAGCTGAGGAAGCATTGTTTTTATTTAAAAAAAACTTTGACATGAAAAAATTAATGTTATTTAAGGCTCACATGATGTGACTTTTGACCCTTAAATATTTTTTTTTGTACAATTAAATGAATTCTCTCTCTTGTATAAGTTTTATTTTGGGATGCTTTGGGGACAGAAGTAAACTAGAATGATAAAGTATACGTATGCAGTAGTGACTTGTATTCACCTAGTTGTGCTTGCGGGGGTTGAGCTCTGCTCTCTCGGCCCACCTCTCAACTGTCAATCAATTAACTGTTACTAACTACTAATGTTTTTTTTTTTTCCCACACACACACCCCAAGAAGCAGCCCGTAACAGCTGTTTAACTTCCAGGCACCTATTTATTGCTAGGTAACAGGGACATCAGGGTGAAAGAAACTGCCCATTTTTGTTTCTCGCCGGCGCTGGGAATCGAACCCGGGCCATAGGATTACGTGTCCAGCGTGTTATCCACACAGCCACTGGCGCCCCGGTGGTTGTCTAATAGTGTGTGTGTACGTTTCAGTAGGGTTGCCATTTTTTTATAACTAAAATTTAGCTCTTTTTGGTATAAAGTATTTAGCTTCAGTTATTTCACATTTAGTTCCTAATTTATGATAAAATTTTCTGCATTGATATGAAAAGGACATAAAAAGTAATATGTGAGTGACAATTTTGTGTTCAGTTGTACTAATCTTCAACTATTAATTTATATTTTTTTTATTTATTTATTTTTTTTTTTTTTGGTAATACATTCTTTGTAAAGATTTTTATTTTGCATCAGTGCTTCTGAGTCTTGCTAGAGGTAATGTGGTGTGTGAACAAGTGGTGCAAGTGACTGTACAGTATACTTGAACAGAGGTACAGTATCTTAAAGTATTAATACAGTAACTTGATTAAGTGTGTGGCGATGGATACACACAGACACAATACTGCAACCCATTTGATATTAAAGGCCACAGCAATAGTACAAAGTTAAGGAAAGGTGGTACCAGGTAGTAAGCAAGGTAAATATTGCTGGAACAAAGGTGGATATCTTCAAGGAGCATTTAGATAAGTTTTTGCAAGAAGTGCTGAACCAGCAGGGATGTAGTGGATATGTGGGCCGGTTACCTTGCGATGATTTTTGGGCTCAGTGTGCCCGTGGCCCGGTCCCTGAACAGGCCTCCTGGTTGCTGGACTGGTCAACCAGGCTGTTGGACGTGGCTGCTCGCAGTCTGGCCGCTCTAAGCAACAGCCCGTTGGACGAAGTTATTACAAGTTGAGCCTGACGGTACAAGAACTCTTGAGACCCTCGCCAGGTATGCTCCAGGTACCATGGATGATAGGAAACTGGCACATGTGAATAGTTAACAAATGATGTGACATTTGATGTGAAAATGATGTGAACTGTGCAGTACTGTATACAACTAATGTTTTACTGTCATTTTAAAAAGCTTCCATAAATTTCAGTATGGTGTTTGATTGCTAACTGTAAGAGTACAGCAGTAGAGTACCTGTGTTTTATTGTGTATGTGTGTATGTATGTATGATATTAACTGTTGTTGTCATGTTTACAGGTGGTAATGATTGTTGACTAAAATACCATGAGTTGGTTTGGCTCGGCCTCGGAGTGGAAGCAGGGCCTGAGTACCTCGGCACTCAGTAAAGTTGAGGAGCTAGAGAACCAGGTGAGACAGGGAACCCACCTTTTAGTTCTTGGCTTAGGCCACTGTAACATATTTCACATTGATATATGTACCTTATGCAGGTTTTTTTCATTATGACACACACAACATTCTCTCCCCACATTTTGAGTGAATACCTTTTGACTGTACCCTATTTATTGGGTATCTCCATTATTGATGACCAGACCACACACTAAAAGTTGAAGGGACGACGACGTTTCGGTCCGTCCTGGATCATTCTCAAGTTGAGAATGGTCCAGGACGGACCGAAACGTCGTCGTCCCTTCAACTTTTAGTGTGTGGTCTGGTCAACATACTTCAGCCACGTTATTGTGACTCATCGCCTGCATATCTCCATTATTGATGCCTTATGGCTGTGTCTAGTTTATTGGGGGGGGCTTGGGGAGTAGAACCCCCCCCCCCCAGAACCCCATCCAGGTACATGTGATATATAAAGAATAACATTGTGGTGCTTCGGTGTGAAACTTTAATGACCTATGGTGGGTGGTGCAAGGAAAGTTCCCATTGATACTGTACTGTATTGGAAAATACCCCATTGGCAGATTTTTAGAGCCATTTTAACACTGTTGAGAGAGGAGCGGTTTGAGTGTAATCTCTCAACTGAGTCTAGTTGCATCAAATTGTTCAGAAATTTATATATATGTTAATTGACATATAGTCAATTAACATATAATAATAATAATTAATAATAAATGTTTATTCAGGTAAGGTACATACATACAAGAGATTTTACATAAATTAATTGATTTATAGATAGAGCTAGTACATACAATGCCTAAAGCCACTATTACACAAAGCATTTTGGGCAATATATTAGTAATAGTAGTCAGTTACACACAATATTCTAGGACATTTTAAAATAGGTGTGAAGTGAATATCTTGTGAATCATTGTTATAGTGGTAGTATATATCAGTTATAATTGTACGGTACTGTATTTCCATCTCTTGCAAATGCCTGCATGAAACAGACTGTAGTCCATAGATCCCCCAACAAACTGAGGTGGTTTGGGAGCCAGGTGCGTATTAGTTGAAACATGAGCAAACTGATGCACTCAAAAACACGTGTGTAGCAGAGCAATTTCAAGCTTGAAACCTTATCATACAAGTAATTGACTTAGCGAGGGCACCTGACAGCTGAGTGGATAGCGCTTCGGATTCGTAGTCCTGAGGTTCCGGGATCGATCCGCGGTGAAGGTGGAGACAAATGGGCAAAAAGTTTCTTTCACCCTGATGCCCCTGTTACCTAGCAGTAAATAGGTACCTAGGAGTTAGACAGCTGCTACGGGCTGCTTCCTGGGCGTGTGTAACAAAAAGGACGCCTGGTCGAGGACCGGGCCGCGGGGATGCTAAGCCCCGAAATCATCTCAAAATAACCTCAAGATAGCCAGAAGGCATTAAAGCATCCTTTAAGAATAGGTGATCCTTGTGAAGCTTTTACCAAATCTGAGACAAATCTCCTACAGTATTGCTTCATACACCAGACCGGGCAGCAGAGATGTTAAGCTCCGAAACCACCTCAAGGTAACCTCAAGGTAGCCTGCCAGGTGCAGTAAAGGTTGGAACAAGACAGAGCTGTCTTGTAACCAGTCGACCATGGTTACTTGGTAACCGTGGTAGACTGGTGAAAGGTTGGGACCTTGAGGCTAACAGGGAAATGGTGGCTGAATTATATTTGAATGATTATTGATGATTTGTGAGACGGTAAGTCAAATACAGTAACATGGCAGAAATACCCCCCCATCCCTTTTTTTTTTACATGTTGTGATAATGGTCCAGGATGGAGAACTCAGTCACTTCCTTTATTTTCAGACATTTGGATCATGTGTCCAATTATATATGGGCTTTTATTTTTATTAATGCTGTAATTGTAATCTTTAGGAAGAATAGCCTTTATATAATTTAGGTTCACAGCATGACAACCGTCAATGCTGCACCAAGCAGAGACTTGACAGTCCCCAAAAGTAACACTGTAGTGGATAACACTGGGTACAAATGTAGCACCAGTGTTGCCAAAGAGTGGAGAACCAAAACTCCAGAACAGAAGTGTAGACATGATGTGAACATTGAAAAACCTCAGAGTAAATAGCTTACAAAATACTGTTACATTATGAATTTCACCTACACTATATAATGTACAGTGGCACCTCCATTAACGAGCGGCTCTATTTACGAGCATTTCGAGTAACGACCCAGCCACTCGCAGCAAATTTCTCTATTGATGAGCCTCACCTCTATTAACGAGCAAAACCACATGGTGCTTTCTAGCGTCTCGTGGGTTCTCGCAAATTCTCGGATGCCTCCGATGCCAGTGTTGTTGTTGTATCGTGCACGACAAGCATCCCTCTGCATTTATTTGTGCTTTTCTTTGTTTTTTTGTGGTTTTGTGACTACAATTTGTAACGCACGATGTTGCCAAAGAAGCTGCTTGCTATAGATAGTGTTGTCAAGATGAAGAAAGACACAATTACTGTGGATTTGAAGAAGGAAATTATAGCAAAGCATGAGCGTGGTGTCTGTGTGACTGATCTCACAAGGGAGTATGGCAGGGCCTCATCAATTTGCACCGTTAGTAAGGGGATGAGGAGGTAAGGGAGGATGCTGCCTCTTCCAGTGAGATCAGGGAAGTATTGGGAATGTTTGAAAAGGTGAATGAATTCTTGGAAAAGCATCACCCTGATAAAGCAGTGACAACCCGGTGTGTGAGTTGGTATGTGTAAGAAATGGCAGCAACATCATGAGTGGAATTGCCAGGTCAAAGGCTCAAATGATTAAGTTTGAGTCCTGGGTCGGAATGGTCAATTTAACTCCAGTCTTTCACAGTTTCTTCCTCTTAACTCACCAAGAGTTAAGACTACTTAATCCTCATGTGCAGCATTTCCTAGCCTTTGTACCCTTGAAATAATTTTGAGCCATACTTTAATGTTCACTCACGAATTTCATTGTCAACTGAAAGGAGATGCTTTCTGCCTTTGCTCTTGGTACTGGTTAAATGAGAAAAATTAAACCAAAAAATACACTTGCACATGATTAGAATTAAACAATTATCACTATCTCCTGCAGAAACCCTAGTTACCTTAGGATTCTGTGGAACCCCAATTCACAAATGCTGCTCTAGTGTAAAATAAGATACTGTATAAACAAAAACACCATAGTGGAGCTCACGATAGTGAAAACTCGTGAAGGTGGTAGTGACCTGTAATCCAGGAGAGGAATACTGAAGGCAGATGGGGTGGCTAATGGGGCCATGGAACTACATAGCCTTTAGCTCTCAAATAGCTGCACCAGCCAGTCATTTGCCGATGGCCACGCTAAGTCACCATGGCTAACAACACTGGGAGACAAACTGCTAGATGTAACAAGTGACAGATAACAAGACTGTGAAACACAATGACAGCAAGAGAGACTTCAGGTCCAGGGTTTGCAGAATACACGTGTCTACACAAGAGATCTGTACCTCTTCGATCATTGCGGCTTAGTCAGTACTTGATGAAATGCTTTGAGTTTCATGGTACTACGAGGTCGTCCTCAACCTAAGGTCTGTCGTACGAGGTCATCCTCAACCTGTAAATACTATAGTATTTAAATAAACTGTAGCAACTACATTAGAAATCATGTAGCAGCTATCCAAACATTCCAGGAATTCCACATACAGTATTACAAATAACATCTGCACTCATTTCCCAAGAATTCTATGTACTACAAATGACATCAAGCAATTTCTCATCAACCAATTAGTGAGAAACCTTGCTCGAAACCAAATCAAGTGGATGGGGACATAAGTCTGTCTGACCACAGCATCTGCAATCTCATCACAGCTCATCCAGAGGCAGGACCACCTCTGATCTACCTCAACCATCATGTCCTATAACAGCAGTCAGCAGCATCACCTCCACTTACCAGCCTCGGTCCCACCAACTGTAACCAGTCTTTGCCACCAATGGGGGGAGGGGAGGGTGGAGGGAGAGGGGGTGTAAGTGGTTGGGGGGGAGATATATAACTTTTCTCTAACATCTGCAATACCAAAATATCTAGGAAATATATATAAAATGTGCATTATTTTAAAGGTACTGTATATATAGGTACAGTACTGTATTTGTAAAATGTTTATTTCTTAATACTGTACCTGCCAGCTGTCTATAAAGTTGTTAATGTAATATATCTGTTGAACAAAAATAATACAATTTAAGCTCATTTTGATTATTTATGTAGCTACCGTGTCTACCTATTTATTGCCTGTTGTATGGCAAAGGATTATTAAGTTAACTTTTGATAAACCGTACGAGTACAGTGTTTATTTTTTCCAGGTTGAACGACTGAAACGTGAGAGGATACAAAAACAGAATCAGCTAGATTCTCTCCAGCAAACTTTAGACAACCAGAAAAGAAAGGTAACTTTTGTGTTATTTAGCACTTCTGCTGGACCGGTGGGTTAGCCGCCGCACACCACAAGGTTGGCCGAGCGTTGCCCGTTAGCACACAACTTCACTCCAATGTTATTACTCTTTTAAACTTTCTCACCTTAATTTTCGTGCTACGTCATTCAATTTGGTATTAAATTGTTCACTGAAGAATGCTGGAAAGTGATATTTGCATATAAGAACATATACAGTGGTACCTCGGAATACGAGTGTCCCTGAATACGAGTTTTTCAGAATACGAGCAGGATTTTCTCGGAAAATTTGCCTCGGAAGGCGAGGGTGTTGATACGCGTACAGGTCGACCTAGCTCGTCTTGGTACGGCGATCGCCCCTCAGTTTACCAGTGCCTCGCGCCCAGTGACTATCCCGCCTCAATTCTTCACCAGGATTTTCAGTGTTTTGTTGGATTTTTGGTCATTTAACCATAAAAGTTGTTATTATATATCTCACCATGGGTCCCAAGAAAGCCAGTGGTAAGGATCAAGGCAAGAAAGCGCATGTGAAGATGACAATAGAGGAAAAACAAGAGATCATTCAGAAGCATGAAAATGGTACACGTGTTGTTGAACTTTGTAGGCAGTACAACAAAGCCACATCAACGCTATGCACTATACTTAGCAAGAAAAAGGACATTATGAGTGCTAAAGTGGCAAAAGGCGTAAGAACACTCACGAAACAAAGACCACAAATACTTGAAGAAGTGGAAAAGTTGTTATTAATTTGGATACACAACAAAGAGTTAGCAGGTGATAGTGTTAAAGAGGCCATCATTTGTGAGAAAGCCAAGGTATTGCATGAAGACCTTGTAAAGAAAGCCCCTGGAACGAGTGCAGACACGATAGACTTTAAGGCAAGCAGGGGATGATTTGAAAAATTTAGAAAAAGAAGTGGTATCCATAGTGTTGCGACTATGGGCTCACCATAGCCTGTGCTACTTGGAGCTTGTTCAGAGTAGCTTAATCTATAACAAAAGTGTTGCGAGGCATGGGAAGGCTGCCAGCTCAGACAAACCAGTAGCTGAAAGATTTATTGAAGAATTTAAAGAGTTTGCAGAGGCTGAGGGATACCTACCGCAACAAGTGTTTAATTGTGATGAAACAGGACTGTTCTGGAAAAGATTGCCTAAGAGGGCATACATTACCAAGGAGGAAAAATCATTGCCCGGACACAAGCCTATGAAAGATAGGTTTACGCTTGTGCTGTGTTCAAATGCGAGTGGCGATTTGAAAATTAAACCCTTGCTAGTGTATCATTCTGAAAATCCAAGGGTTTTCAAACAGTATAAAGTGCAGAAAAACCAAATGTGTGTGATGTGGAGGGCTAATAAAAGGACATGGGTGACTAGGATTTTTTTTTCGGAGTGGGTGAATGAAGTGGTGTGCTCTGCCATAGAAAAATATCTGCAGGAGAAACATTTGCCACTCAAGGCCCTGCTTCTCCTCGACAATGCTCCTGCTCATCCTCCAGGCTTGGAAGATGAATTGTTGCCCAGATACAATAAATTCCTCACAGATAAATTCCTTCCTCCTAACACCACTCCTCTAATTCAGCCTATGGACCAGAAAATCATAGCGAATTTTAAGAAACTTTATGAAAGGGCACTTTTCCGGAAATGTTTTGAAGTGACTGAAGCCACACAACTCGCCCTCAAAGAGTTCTGGAAACTCCATTTTAACATTTGTAGTGCTTTAAAACTCGTTGACAAAGCCTGGCAAGAAGTGACTGAGAGAACCCTGATCTCTGGCTGGAGAAAATTGTGGCCTGAATGTGTGACAGAACTAGACTTTGAGGGCCTAGACCTGTAAATGATGCGCCTATTGTTGAGGAAATTATTACTCTGGGCCAGCAAATGGGCTTGGAATTGGATGGTGGTGATGTGGAGGAGTTGGTGGAAGAACACAACGAAAAACTGACCACCGAAGAACTCCAAGCCCTTCAAAAGGAACAGCAAGAAGACACAGCTGAGGATGTTTCTCCAGTGGAGGAGGATGAGGCAGTACAGAATGTCCCTTCTGCAGACATTAAGAAGGTGTATCGGATGTGGGAAGAGATGCAAACTTTTATTGAAAAGACTCACCCAGAGAAAGCTGTAGTAGGCCGTTGCCTTAATCTTTTCAATGACAATGTTATGCCTTACTACAGAGACAGCTTGCGAAGAAGGGAAAAACAAGCTTCCATGGACAGATTTGTTGTGAGAAAATCGAGCAGTGAGCCACAACCAGGACCTAGTGGTACTCAGGCAAAATGTGCCAGGGAGTGCACACCAGAAAGGTCTTTACTGCCTGATGTGATAATAGAAGGGGACTCCCCTTCCAAACAGTAACACCTCTCCTCCTCCCCCTCCTTACCATCTTCCATATGCCTACAGCATTCATCAGCAAGGGTAAGTAATAACTTGAACATAGTTTTGTAGGTTTATTTAGATGAATTAGGTATAAAATTTAGTTTGAAGTGGGGTTTTTGGGTAGTCAGGAACGGATTAATTCATTTCCCATTACAGTATTTCTTATGGGGAGATTAGCTTCGGATTACAAGTTTTCGGAATACGAGCCGTCTCCAGGAACGGATTAAACTCTTAAACCGAGGTATCACTGTAAGTCACTTTTCTATAATTAAATCCGCTGTGCACCACAAGATAACCCGATCGTTGTCCGTGAGCTCACGACAACACTCCAATTTTTTTTTTTTTTTTTTTTTTTTAGCTTTCTCACTTCCATTTTCATGCTACGTCCTTCATTTTTTAACTATGTAGTTTTTAGTTCACAATTGAATGCTGTTAAGGAATATTTGCATATATTTACCAGTCTCTGTGGTGTAGTGGTAAGACATTCGCCTGGCGTTCTGCGAGCGTTTTGTCATGGGTTCGTATTCTGGCTGGGGAGGATGTGCTGGGCACACATCCTTAACTGTAGCCTCTGTTTAACTCAACAGTAAAATGAGTACTTGGTTGTAAAAACGGTTCTTCGCGGTGGGGATCGTATTCCAGGGACCATAGGATTAAGGACTTGCCCGAAACGCTACGCGTACTAGTGGCTGTACAAGAATGTAACAACTCTTGTATATATATATACACAGTATATAAAAAAAAAGAAAAGAAAAAAAGAACATATAAGTCTCACTATTCTATGCTTTCAACGAACACTCAATAACTTTACCCTCATGCTTGTTTCTTTCAATGATTTCATCATGGATTGACTGTTCTTGATCAGTATCCATCTGAAAGTCAATTTGCAGTGTTGATAAAGCCGGTAGCAACAAATACCCGAGATAAAATATCCTGAATGGGGAAATTTTTTGACTCGAGAGGACGCCGCGGCTGTCGCGAGCGAGGTCACCAGAACAGTGAGTCTCCAGCGTGGGTAGGTGCCCATACGGCGGGGTCAGGATGCCACGTGGGGGTATACAGAGAATGGGAAGATGTTGCTCATTTTAAAACAAGTCCCATAGTATTTGGACAATAAATGGAATTCTTACAAATTTTTCAATTAACCCTTAACCACTGAACTGTGCAACGAGCCTGCAGGCGCTCGACACGGGGTGCACAACACACCTCCGGGTATTTCTATTTTTCGCGGTCCATTCAAAACTGGCGCACGGTGACACGGGTACAAAATGGATGCCTGGGGGCCCCAGTGATTATCTGCCATCTTGAAAAAAAAATCCCAGCATGCCCTGCAGCCGTGGGGAGCCTCAGTTTCAAAGCAGCAACAATGTCTGATACATCGTCTACAAGCTCCCGTTCCACGGTCACCCACGGTCATGGAAAACGACTCTCTGAGGAGCAGATACGCTATATTTTGTATGATGACGGTGTTATGGATGATGACTTAGACTATGATCCAGAGAAAGACCTTACGCAGAGGTCTGATACGAGGGAGGGAGAGACTGAGGTGGATGATGTTGCAAGCATGTACGGTACACTCGCCTCGCCCAGCCTGCCTCGCCACCCTGGGTCAATCACCACCACCATGTGTGTCCCCCTGATGCAAGTTTATTCAGTGATAGTTCTTACGATGAATCTTTCTCGGGCTTCAGTGACATAGGCGCCGATACAAGTAGTGTGGACGACCCGAGTACAAGCAGCGAGGGTGTTACCAGGCAGGATTTTGCTGCCTTAGCAACACGTTATGGCAAGCGACATTGTGTCTCGCAGCAACAGGACAATGACGACAATGGACCCTCGACATCAAGTGTTCATGGTAGGCCTACGATACGTAGACCAGCCTCCTCAACCATCCATACCCTCACGCAGCTCCAACACGAGACGACGTAGCCCGTGTTTTAGGTGCTCGTGGTGGTGTTGGCCGTGGTGTTGGCACCAAAACCAAACCCCTGGGTGTACCTGTGTGGGAGGATTGTGCCACATTTGTTCCACAAATGGGTTCTGTTGGGAGCCGGTCGGCCGAGCGGACAGCACGCGGGACTTGTGATCCTGTGGTCCTGGGTTCACTCCCAGGCGCTGGCGAGAAACAATGGGCAGAGTTTCTTTCACCCTATGCCCCTGTTACCTAGCAGTATAATAGGTACCTGGGTGTTAGTCAGCTGTCACGGGCTGCTTCCTGGGGGTGGAGGCCTGGTCGAGGACCGGGCCGCGGGGACACTAAAAGCCCCGAAATCATCTCAAGATAACTCAAGATAAGGGCTGCTTCCTGGGGGTGGAGGCCTGGTCGAGGACCGGGCCGCGGGGACACTAAAAGCCCCGAAATCATCTCAAGATAACTCAAGATAACACAAATACCAACATTTGATGCTTCTGATGTTGGTGTGACACCATTATTTCCGTATACATGTGAGGAAATGGCAGAAATAGACTATTTCCTGGTGTGTTTTGACAACGAATTAATGACCCATCTTGTGACCGAGACAGATACGCTCACAGCCTCATAGACACCAGCATTTTACCTGCCTCATGCCTCGCGCAATGGAAGGACACCACAATTGATGAAATGTACATGTTTCTCGCACTGAGC